TTGAACCTGAATCAATATCAGTTGCCATTAATGGCATTCTTTCTTGCCAGTATCCTTCCAGATTTACTGTTCAATCTGTGTGAAAAAAAAACCTGTCTGACCTAATTCTGCTGCAGTTTTCTGTACTCTTGAGGATACTAAATGAAACTCTTGTAACTATTTAGTGTTATATATCCTTTTGTTGTTCCAGAAAGTTTAGAATTCTTTATTTACTTTCTGTATCATGCTGAAGTTGGGAGGAATTACCTAGAGAAAAACAGTGTACTACTGTATATCCAAATGTAATTTAATATATGCACTACTGCCCTCCAAAAAGCATGTAACCCATCCCTAAATATAATTATTACTAACATTTATACATTTGCTGTATACTCCTGCTGTTGTTGATGTGTTGAGTAAGAATTTACATGCATATTCAGCAGAATGAAGTGGTAAAACCAATCTAAGACTGTTCTACATTAGCTTGCCAGTAGGGGTTGCTTGCTTAAATTTTTCACTGAGGGCATGTTGAGGGAGGTAATATAGTCTAAATACTTCTGCATGACATGCCAGTTTTCTCTCTGTGTTGCAGTTTTATTGATGAGTAAATATTTTAAATATTCACCAAGCCATGAAACTTAGAAGTAACACATGCAGTTGACATGTGTTCAGCAACCTCTTTTACCTGTAGCCTGAAGTGATAGCATTCAAGAAAAACTGTATATATGAACTAGCCCTCAGGTATTTTCTGTATTGTACACTGGAATTCCCATTTTCTCCCACCGACCCCACACATCTGATTCTGTTGGCAGTAGCTGCTTTTTCTGACTAAAGAAAGGGCTGTTAGGAAAAGATGTTTAACTACACATTGCTTTTCACATAGAAGGAATAATTTCAGCACATGAGGGCTGTTACAGGTAAGCAGTTCCCCAAATGCCTGCTCAGTAAAGCTAAGGCAGTTATCTGTCTTAGAGTACAGCTTTTGTAGCCTTTCAGACTACTTTCAGAAATGCCTTTGGCCAGTAAAGATGGCAAGGTAAAGCCATCTTTTACCAATCATGGTAAAGAAACTAGAGAAAAGAGCTATCTTTTTTGAAATGAAAAAGGCATGCATCTCCCCCTCCCTCCCGACCCCAATAATAAGAAGTAGAGTGTAGAAAAATACTCCAAAAAGGTATGTTGGCTCTAATTCTGAGCAAAATACCACATACTGTTTTATCTGAAAAAACAAGCTGTGGCCCATGTAGCTGTAGCATCCTGGATGCATGCTCTCTTGTACAACCCTTTCCCAAACAACATCCCACCTTGCCCTTTGCTTAATCATAGTTAAGGGTAAGACTTTCAATTAGGTTCTAAAACCATAGATTAAAATGGTGTTTAAATCATGGGTTGAACTTTAGTTGTAGCTAAGGTTGATATTGATGAACTGCTTTACAGGCTTCACATTCAATCGCTAAGGAGGCAAGGAAGGACAGGAATTACAAATAGGAAGCATGTTTTTTTTCAGGCTGTGCTGATGATAGTTAACTAAAGTTAGAAGGATGCTAACTGTAATGTTATGGGTTAGCAGGGTGATACAAATTCAGGAGCAGGGGATACTTTTATTAGACCACTTTAAAAAATCAAACTATCTGTGAGCTTTCGCGAGTCAAAGTCCACTTCCTCAGGCATGCACTGGTGTCTTGTGAACAATGCAGAAAAATTATATGAATGGGGGTCCCAAAAATTCATGGCAGATGGCTGCGTTAGGCTTGGTTCCTACAGGTTAGTTAGAAAAAAACACAGGCTGCACTGAATATGTGGTTTTCAAACTACATCTCGGGTAGCTGTTGATTGGATATCACACCCCAGCTTCAAAAAGAAAGCAGTAGCAGGTAATATGCATATGCCTTCCCACATATAACCTTAAAAAAACCTTTGTATTTCTCTTTGACCAGGGGCAGTACAAAAAGCACAGAGTCCTCCATCAGGGAATTGGGGTTAAAATTTAGTTTATTCACTAGACAGAGCCAATTGGAGTCAAAATAATATTACCTAGTGGCGGGAAGTAGCTGTTTCCTTTAGTTTGCAGTCCTTAGCTGAAGCCCACATTGTCATCTTGGTGATTCAGGGAGGGGACTATTTTTGATATCTTCCTCGTTCCAAAACAGAGAAAGAGAGCTATGTCATTCTTACAGAATACAAATGCAAGAGCAAGTGATGTCTTTATTATAACACTAAAAGATCAAACAATCTGCAACCTTTTGTGGCTTAAAGTCCCATCAGGGATGCACCTGTCTCTCGTGGATAATGCAGAAAAATTATATACAGCGGTGCCCCGCTTGACGACGATAATCCTTTCCAGGAAAATCGCTGTTAAGCGAAATGTCATCAAGTGAAAAGAAACCCATTGGAATGCATTGAAAACTGGTTAATGCATTCCAATGGGGGAAATACCTCATCATCCAGCGAAGATCCTCCATAGGGGAAGCCATTTTCGATCGCTGTCTTCTGAAAATAAGTCTGGAAAACAGCAGGGAGCCATTTTGCGAACCGCCGATCAGCTGTTTTTAATCGTCATGTTGTGAACAATTGGTTCGCGAAACAGGGACCTAATCATTGTAAAGTGAAAAAACGCCATAGGAAACATCGTCTTGCGATCGCTATAGCGATCGCAAAAACATTGTCGTCAGGCGATGTCATCGTCAAGCAGGGCACCATTGTAAAATTATAAGATGGTATAGTGTGTCAAATGTTAGAAGGAACAAAATAGAAAAACACTTTAAGTATTATAACTAGTTGCTCTTATGTACAAATTCTTTTTCCCTGAAAGCTGCATAGCAGAAATAGTGGCACAGTGTTTTGGTTGTCATTCATACGGAGCCACTGGATTGTCTAGATTCTTTGCTGGCACATCTCTATTTAGTCTGGCCTGTTAATAATAATCTAAACTATCAATACATGTAATCAGTTGAGGAGAAAGTAAGATACATTGTATCTTACGTGCCATCAAGTTGATTCTAACTTGTGGTGACTTCAGTAGAGTTTTCAAGATGTGTAAGATGTTCAAGGAGTGTTTTACTCTTGCCACACACCCCAGTGACTTTCCATGGCCAAGCAGGGGTTCAGATCTTCTCCTGCGTTCTAATCCAGTACACTATCCATTAAACCACACTGGCTTTAAACAGAGAATACTGGTTTAATACATGGGCTGTTTCAAATATCTCTGAAAATGTCATTAAATGTCAATAAATGTGTAGCCTGTACAATTAAAAAAAAATTGTAAACCGCCTGGAGAGTGCTTGTAGCGCTATGGGGCGGTATATAAATCCAATAAATAAATAAATAAATAAATAAAATGACATGGAATTAAGATTTTCCAATAGTAGAGTTTCTAATGAAGAGCTTAACTAAGCATTTGACACCCAGTGATGCTCTTCCACATATGCAGCCGGCCAAAGCTGATCTACCAAGGCAAGTAGTGCAAAGCCCCCCTGAGCAGTCCACCCCCAGTCAACACACAGTTGTCTGCTTTCATGCTTGTAACCAATACACGGGCTAGCATTGTCTGTCAACTTATACACTAGCCAGTGTGCTAGCCTTGCAGTTACAGAACTCTGCAGGCAGGTTCCCATCTACAAAGGTGCACAGACACATACTGTTTTTCCCCTTACAGGTGCAATAAATTATTCTTAGGCAGAGCCTTCTTGCCCTGCGAGGAAGTGTTGGGGAGGGAGGAAGTCAAGACTGACAAGTGTTAGAAGTCATATTCCCCCTCCCCAGGAAAGAATTAAAAAATATATGGAACCTCACTGAAATAATTGTACAGTAATGCAGTGCCATAACAAGGGAGGAGAAAGGGAACAAAATCAGCCAACAAAATTTGTTGGCTGCATTGACTGTTTACATCAGCTAAAGATTTGATTGGCTGCTCTGCCCTACTAGCCCCATTGCCATTGACCAACAATCTTGCAGTGACCTCTGCTGTTACAGCTGGGAGAAGTAGTGGTAGCAGTTTGCAGAGAGAATTTGCAAGTTCTTGATCATCTGCCCACTCTCCATACATATTTTCCTCCATTTTGTGCCAACCTCAGAAGGATCTGCTACAATTGCTCCAACCAGCTCTGACGGCAGAATTGTTGTGCCTTGTGACATCTCAGTTCCTAGATGCTCTGGGCTTTTGCAGGGGCTGGGCTCTAAACCTAGAACGTGAAGAGGAGTGATGGGTGCTTTTCGACTCATGATGGATAGGTAACGGCAGAATTCAGTTGGCTTTTTAGAAGTGTTAAATGCTTCAGCCATTTGTCTGGTGCCAGACTGCCACAGCTCTTAACATTTTGCTTAGTTTATAGCTTTTCCTACCAGCACTGCCAAATACTCTATTAACATTAATTCTTACTTTTTGTACCATGATAAAAGATATGCAGTGAATAGCATACTTTGGGATTAATTTATTGGTATTTGAGTGGAGCACAATTATGGGCATTGACGTGATCTTTCTGGCTTTCTGGGGAGAGGGGAAAAGTCTGGTTTGTGTAACTGGCTGAAATACCATCCCATTTCTTAGAAATGAAACCAGAATGATTAGAAATAAAGTCTTGTTATTATTTTTTGAAATTTCTCTAATGCCAAGCCCTAGGTATGCTCTTCATATCTACAACAGCATGAGGAAATTCTTTGCCTTCCAGGATTTTTAGAAAATATTCCCCATTTATTTATTTAACTTCAAATTCATGTAAGTTGTGGCTCAAAGTATATTGAGATAGTTTGGTAATATTCAAATGATTTAAGTTGCTATGGATGTAAATAATGACATTTTTTCCTGCATCAAGTATGTCCAATGTCCATGCTCAAGAATAATTTAGCCCAATCTGTGCTTTTTTCTGAAAAGACAATCCCACCAAATTCAGTGGCACTTATTTTCAAATAGTTGTGCTTTTGAGCCTAGAGAGGTTGAGAGACTATCAGATAATAGAAATGGAGTTGACAAATTAATCTGATTTTCTTTCTTAATTCCCTGTCTTGTGTCATTACTTATTTAGGCTCCAGGCTCGAATTGCTCACAGAATTCAGGAATTAGAAAATTTACCTGGCTCTTTGCCTCCTGATCTGCGAACTAAAGCCACAGTGGAGCTGAAGGCTCTTAGGCTACTGAATTTCCAGCGTCAGGTAAATGCATTCTACTGAAAAAGGGATATTTATTTTTAGTTATAAGTTGAGTTCTGTTTAGTGAGGCCTGGAACAGGTCAGTCATTAGCCCACAAAGGAATAGCCAGGAGAGTTGTGGTTTCTCAATCTAGGCCATAGAGTGAACCTTCCTCATCGTCTGCATGGAGTAGAGTGTGAATGGATTCTGTACCTTTGGCAGAAGGGGCAGCAGAGAACAAGAGCAAGCAGATGGAGAGAAAAAGGGAGGTGGGCAATAGTCCACAGCTAAATTGCCAGTTTGTGGTCCTGGACTGGTGCCATCTTAGTGTTCAACCTGTGCTTGTGCTTCATCTCCCTTTATAGTGGGAGGGGGGAGTCCAGTCTATATTCCCTCCTTCCCCGTTGGCAGTTGCAGTGGAATTCTGTATGGGGAAGAAGAGTTTGTTCCACTGCATGGATCTGGGCTGTAGTCCTCCTAGGCAGGAGTCTTCATTAGTGTTTTGATAGCAGTAGCAATGTTTCAAACAGCGTACTTTGCCTTTCCTCTTCTGTCCATGGGACTCTGGTTATGGCTGCTGGGTATGAATGCTGCACCGTATGTGTGGGATTTTTAAAGAAACACAGTTCAGATATATTATTTGTATCTGGCAGAAGGCGGGGGGAATGGTGGGCTTTATAGCAAGCATTCTCTCTTCTCTTGCTTGCTAGTACCTCCCCATAGAAATGAAATGGTGGTTGTTGAAGTCTGTAATCCTGAAGTGAAATGCTGTTTGTTTGTTTTCCTAGACAGAAATGTTTGCAGTATGCTCGCGTTTCTGTGAGCCTGTTTAATATACTGTACTTTGTAGGAGAAATGCCTTTTCCCCCTCATTTCCCACTAACAAAATCCTTCCTTACGAGTGGTAGGTATGTTACCTGAGTCCAGAGAGCAGATGGAGATGCAACCTAGCGTCTTCATATGACAGTCATTTTAGGCTGTGATGAAAATCTGTTTTCATATAACGGGAGAGTGAAACCCTGTTCATGTGTTATTGAAGAATGGACCTTGCTTTGACAGCACTCGACATGTGCCTAACAGAACAGATGCATAAAGTTGGAGGCAAGGCTGGAGGCCTATGGATCTTCCTTTATAATAAGGCTCTTCACATGAGTGAAACATGAATAGGTCTTGAGTCTTTATTAAAGCAGAAAGCACACACAACATTTTGTTTTCTTAGTGTCTTACGTGTATCTAAAGGATTAGTGTTATATACAGTACTCCATAGGGCACAGATAGTCCCCCCCCCCCAATCCTCATTCTTTGCCCATTTATATAAATCTTTATAAGACTGCTCTCAGGGAAAAAAAACATCGTTAAGCGGAAACATCGCTAAACGAGGCAATCGTTAAGCGAGGCACCACTGTATATTATTTGTATCTGGCAGAAGGGGTGGGGAAATGGGGGGGCTTTATAGCAAACATTCTCCCTTCTCTTGCTTGCTGATGAGGGGTACTTTGTGCTAGTGCCTCCCCATAGAAATGAAATGGGGTCACTGATGGTGGTTGAAGTCTGGAATCCTGAAGTGAAATGATGTGTTTTTTTCCTAGACAGAAATGTTTGCAGTATGCTCACGTTTCTGTGAGCCTGTTTAGTATACTGTACTTTGTAGGAGAAATGCCTTTTCCCCCTCATTTCCCACTAACAAAATCCTTCCTTACGAGTGGTAGGTATGTTACCTGAGTCCAGAGAGCAGATGGAGATGCAACCTAGCGTCTTCATATGACAGTCATTTTAGGCTGTGATCAAAATCTGTTTTCATATAACGGGAGAGTGAAACCCTGTTCATGTGTTGACAGCACTCAACATGTGCCTATCAAAACAGATGCATAAAGTTGGAGGCAAGGCTGGAGGCCTATGGATCTTCCTTTATAATAAGGCTCTTCACATGAGTGAAACATGAATAGGTCTTGAGTCTTTATTAAAGCAGAAAGCACACACAACATTTTGTTTTCTTAGTGTCTTACGTGTATCTAAAGGATTAGTGTTATACTCCATAGGGCACAGATAGTTCCCCCCCCTCCTCATTCTTTGCCCATTTATGTAAATCTTTATAAGACTCTCAGGAGTTACAGATCAGTATTTTAAAAAAAGCATGGGTTTTTCTTCTCCCTTCTCACTGCAGTCTCTCTTGCCTTTTGAAAAGGCTTTCCCTAAGGAAGACTCTGGAACACCTGTTAATGTTGTTTGAGGGAGTGCAGTCAAGAAAAGTGTATTGTTAACTCCACTGCAAGTGCACAGAAGTTTCTTCTTTTTTTAACCAGAGCTTTTCATATTTTGCCATGGATGTCTGTGTTTGGTGATCTCCTCATCCTTTTAATTCTTTTCATAGCACGTTATATATTTTCTTTTGTTTACTGTTTTAAAAAAACCTTTTAAAGTAAGTTAGTCTGAGAAAGAATTACTTTCCTGTGTTTAAAATACTCAGTGAATGGTGATTGATTAAGTATTTGAACTTGGGTCTTCAATTTCCAAATTCAACATACTGTCTTCTGTACAGTATTGACAGCCTACTAGGTACTGGCTTTTCTTTCTAAAACTCCTTTCATTTGCCTTTCTTTTTCCAAAACAGCATGCCAGCATCAAAACAGAACCGCAGCATAACAAACAAAAGAGCAAATGTACAGTATACCTACAAAATCTATGAAACCAAACAATAAATAATTTTGGATTACTGCTATCATGTATATACATTCCTCTATTGAATAAATAAGCTAAATTCAGTGTTAGAAAGTTAGCAGTGTTTAGAAATCTAGTCATGTTTAGCTAAAATTCTATGAACACCTAGAATAGAATGTCTTCGAAACCACTCTGTGAAAATCTGTTTTCTTTATTAAAGTCTTGTGACTTGTTTTTAAAGTTTTCCTCTTCCGGTTCACAGTTAAGGCAAGAGGTGGTGGCCTGCATGCGTCGGGACACAACTTTGGAGACTGCTCTGAACTCTAAGGCCTACAAGCGCAGCAAGCGCCAGACTTTAAGGGAAGCCCGAATGACGGAAAAACTTGAGAAACAACAGAAGATAGAACAGGAGAGAAAACGCAGACAGAAGCACCAGGTATATTAAATTTCAGTATAAACTGATTTGTTTGTCTACTACATTTAGTCTTTTGTTTTCTTCTTTATATGTGCTTATTGTGCCGTGTATGAATAAGTCTGTAAATTGGTAATTGATGCCTGGTTTCTTGCACCATGGTCAGGGAAGCCAGAAGGAAGAGGACGTTCATTCATGCTTTGATAGTAGTTTGACTATCCGTTTCTAAATTTCTTTGCTTTTGACTTCAGCAGTAAGGGCCAGGACAGTTGGCTTTCAGTTTTAGTCCCTGTGAACATACTTTCCCCTCTTTGTATCACTTTCAGTTTATTTTCATTTGAACCCCAACTGTTTTCCATTGAGAAATTTAAGGCCCTCTTGAGGGGTGTGGAGAGAGCGAGCTTATTTTCACCATCAGATCTCATAAACATAGTAAGACAAAGGTAAGTGCCACTGTGGACTAGCGTTTGTTGCATCTGAATGGCAGAGATAACTGATGTGTATTTCTTAAAGAACAAGAAGGTAAACATGCTTGCATACAAAGGGAAAACAAACTCTACAGTTTATTGCACTTTATTACAACCCAGCGAAATACCACAAAATATGCAAGCTTTTGAATTCTCCAGAATGCTTTATCAAGACAGTATGGCATCAGAGGAGAAACTAACAATACAAAACCTCATCTGAATGTTGCACCCATGAGATCTGCAGTTATTTTCAGTAGCAAGATGGAGATTTTTTACTTAATGAATCAGTGATTGGGAGAGGGATCTGTTACATACAGCACTGATGTTACCTGTCTGTCATGGGTTTGGAGGGAAAGTTCCATCCTAGGGAGAGTGGAAGGCGGGACATCAGGAGGAGGGGCTGTACTGTATATATATGTGGAGCGTGTGAGGAGACGCTGGGATGTGAAGAAGCAGCAGCTGGGAAGAAGAAGCTGGTGTGGGAGTCTGTGTGTCAGACAGGGTACTACTGTGTGTCAGAGTACCAACCTGATAGGTTCAGGTGTCTGTTGGTTAGCCAGAACTGATAGGTTCAGGGTCTGTGCTTCGTTATTTTCAGTAGCAAGATGGAGATTTTTTACTTAATGAATCAGTGATTGGGAGAGGGATCAAATTCCATCTGTCTTTGATACCAGGGTAAAGAAGCAGTTGCAGATCTCCATTTCTGGGAAAAAATAAAAACATATTCTGGCCGCAACTTGAAGGATCAATCTGTTCCCAGTCTTGGGTGCAGTTCACTGAAATATGGTTCTATCCATAGGTTGGCACAGTGAGCGCCTGGTAGTTTGGTGTTAAGATTGTTGTGTAGTGCCCATTCCCAGTCCAATACTGAGATTTCCTCTTTCCTTTTAAAGATTTGTTACATTTGTGTTGGAGTTTATGATCACTCTCCTGAAGTGTTAAAAGTTCAGGAAGGTAAAGTGTAAGTTTAGCTAGACCAGATACCACTTTTGTCAGGTATATTGAAAAGAGTAACTGAGTCAAATGTAACAAAGTGAGTACAGTATTCAGCAAGCAGTTATTGGTGGTGATTTGCTACTTTCAGTAGCGACCTGATCTCCTGATATGTGGAGGAAACAATTGCTAGCAAGCCCAGTGGCTTTTAGATCGTTTTGAGTTTTAATCCCTATCAACCCTTTTGAAGTTTTTGCTAGGTAGTTAATTTTATCTTATAATGTTTGATTTTTGTTGTTACATATCGTAAACTGCCCAGAGTGGCCTTTAGCCAAATTGGTGGTATAAAGATTAAACCATCAAACAAATCCTAACCAAGCTGTCTGGTGCTGAGATATTATGAGAGTAGTTGTTTATCGGCTTATGGCTGTGCTTTGTACTCACTCATGTTGATAAAATCAGTAAAACTGACCAAATCCTAAGTATTGTCAAGATCCTGAACTCAGTGATTTGTGAGATCCCTCCCCCATGTTAATACTTATTTTCTTTTATAGGAATATCTCAACAGCATTTTGCAACATGCTAAAGATTTTAAAGAATACCATCGGTCAGTGGCTGGGAAAATTCAGAAACTTTCCAAAGCGGTGGCTACTTGGCATGCTAACACTGAGCGTGAACAGAAGAAAGAGACAGAAAGGATTGAAAAAGAGCGAATGAGAAGACTGATGGTAAGGACAGCTTTTGATCATTGGTAGGCTGGCATTTCGGAAGAGACAAGTCAGTTTCCGTATTTTGACAGTGTGAGGCGAGAGAAGCTTAAAAGGAAGAATCTTCACTATGAGATAGCCTATTATTTTTAATTTGCCTGAAATAGTAAAAATGAATTAGCAACTGCAGTCAGGAATAAGCTCAGGCTTTCGGGGCAAGATATTTCATGGAAAAGACTTCTCAGTGCATTATTGTCCTTTCTGTTTTATTTTCTTCTGGTTTTGGTCCACTGCATATTTTCTAGCTGTAGATTGCAAGGGGGCACATGATGTGTGTTCTGTCATGGTCAGGTTGTGCCACCTTGGTACATATAACTACCACAACCTTCCCCCCCCAAAAAAAAATCCAGGTTGATGACTGCCACAAACTGGACAGTTGTTTGAATCACTTCTTGAGTCAGCCTAGTTACATTTTTGTGATCAAATTGAATGTCCCATTAATATTAAATGCTAAAGGATTATGATGTATCAAATCGTTTTGTTTTGTTTTGTTTGCTGCCTTTCTCCTCATAGGCTACTCAAGGCGGATCACAACTAAAGTTATAAAACAAACAACATTTTTAAAAATACTATATAAATATAATATTACAAATTATTAAACACATACTATAATAACCAAATTTAAAAACAATTTGAAAACATTTAAAAATCTGTAAGTTAGTTAACAAGCATTCCTGATTCACTTACTGTTTAAAAGTCTGCCTGAAGAGAATAAGCAGTATATATGGCATTGCATTTATTTGGACAAGCAAATAGGTCTTCTTGGGTATACAGTGGTGCCTCGCTTAGCGATGTTAATCGATGCAGCAAAAATCGCCACTAACCGAAAACATCGCTAAGCGATTTTTAAAAGCCCATAGAAATGCATTGAAACCCCTTCAATGCATTCCTATGGGCAAAAAACTTACCTTTAAGCGAAAATCCTCCATACGGCGGCCATTTTTGTTGCCCGGTATGTGAGGAATCCATCCCAAAACACAGCAGGCAGCCATGTTTTTTACCCAGCGGCCATTTTGGAACCGCCGATCAGCTGTTGGGAAAACATCGCTATGCGAAAATTGGTAAGCAAAACAGCTTACCCATCATCACAAAGCGGTTTCCCATTTAAAACATCGCAATGCGATCGCTTTTGCTATCGCAAAAACCAAATCGCTATGCAATTTCGTCGTTAACCCGGGCGCTCGTTAAGCGAGGCACCACTGTAATTCTGAAATTTTGGGTCACTTGTCACTTTATTTTATTACTTGCTCTTGTGGCTTTATAACTGTCTCTAAATGCAAAAATATTTTCATCATGTCTGACAAAAATACCCAGGCTAAGAACAATGTCAAGAATAGACAGAATAAGAACAATAACAACATAGGTGTAGAAGGAGCAAATAAAGTTCCACTACATGTCAAGAGTGAATAGGCCTAGAAAAACATTTTTCCCCTTTGAATCCAGAAAGACATCAAAGTAAGCTTCAGGTAAGCCATGCTAGCACATTCCTCTTCCTAGACAAGTAACACGAGTGGTCCCACCCATAGAGAGGCCTGCAGCTATTTCACAGTTGCTCTTTGCCCAGCCCAAACCAATGGGATTGCCTAGACAAGTAACACGAGTGGTCCCATCCATAGAGAGGCCTGCAGCTATTTCTAAGTTCACAGTTGCTCTTTGCCCAGCCCAAACCACAGTGAGGTTCTTCTTTGATCCTTATGGTGAAAATAAGGCACCAGTTTGCAGGTACAAACCTTTCTTGTGTTTTATATCCATCTTAAAGTGGTGATAAAGATGTTAATTGAATCTTTTAAGCATGATTAATTATGCTACTTTCACTTTACCTTGTGGTTTCAACATTTTTAATTGTCCTGCCCCCTTTTATAGATTGACCCCATTACTCATAACTTCTGAGTGACAGCAGCTGCTCTTTCGTATCTTCATTCATTTCAAGGATTTATAATTTTTTAGTAGAAAGCTTTTACCAGCACAGTCATTTCTTTTGAACACTTGTTATTATGCATAACATAGAAACCATATCATTCTCCTAACCTTTCAGCAATATTTTAAACCATGGTAGCTCTTAACACTTTTCAATTATTTACCATGTCAGTCATATTTTGAGAATGATTAACATGTCAAAGACAAGCAGCAGAATCTCCGCAAAAGTAAGCATTCTGGAATCTTCTTGATTCTGATAGGAAACATCAAAGCATGTTCCCTTCCATTAGAATCAATAGGATATAAAAGTGCTTCAAATTTGGTGGGATTGTATTCATAGTTTCCAGCATATCATTGAAACGTAAACACTACAGAGCTTAAGTGACCGAAGTGCCTCAAGCTACTGGACTGCAGAGTAATACTTTGGAGTATTCCTGTGACATTACACAATATAGCATTCAAGAAGTAAAATCCTATTTAGCCGTTATGCTCGTGTAACTTGACATTAGGCAAGCAGTAGCTCTGATCACGCCCAGGCTGAAGTCCTGTTCACAAAGCACTTACATAGTCACATGATGGGAACTGCAGGATAGACTGGCAATCGAATTGTGCAGTCCTACTTTTCTGGATGTTATGCCTGGCAAACCTACTTTATTTTATTTGAAGACAAACAGAATTCTGGCCAGTATGTGTAACTCCTGTTTATTCTTTCGCATTTTGACATCAGTCCATCTTGACTTTTAAGACATTACCTTAATCTTACTATGAACTTGCCCGGATTTTCTGTTTGCCCTGATGAAGCATCCAGTAGTTGAATGTCCCCACTGCCAAGGAAGAGCAGGGACCACATCGTCAAGATCTTTCATTTTTGTACAAATCATTTTTAACTCCTCACTTTCATTTCATTCCCTCCAGATCACAGCTTGCCTGCCTCTCTCTTTTCAAGCTGTTGGTTCATCATTTACTTGAATTTGTTCCTCTCTCCTTTCTGTGCTCAGTTTCTTCATTATATTTTTAAAGGAGTCATTTTCATCCTTCCGCCTTTGGCGTTCTGTCTTGGTGTAGTGCACTTCTCTCCTGTGTTGCTTTGTTTGTTTGTTTGTTTAATTTATATACCTCCCATCTGGCAGCCAAGGCCACTCTGGGTGGTTTGCAACAAAAACCAACAGACTAACAAAATAGCAAATAGCGACATTAATACATAGGGTTGAAAATCAAAAATCATAAAGTGAAGTGAGGATAAAATTATAATACAATAAATATAAAAGCATAGAAGAAAATAAAAACATGAAGCATGGCAATATGATAGAAGTTATATTATTGGACACTATTGTATCAGAGAGTAGTTTATTCAGGGAAGGCCTGTCCAAATAGCCAGGTTTTTAGTAACTTTTTCAATGTGCCTAGTGAAGGGGCCAGGTGGACTTCGGGCAGAAGAGAGTTCCAGAATTGTGGTGCTACCACCAAGAAGGCCCAGTTTCTAGTGGTTGTTTTCTGGGCCTCTCTCAGGGTCAGAACTCTCAGATCATCTGTGACAATCTTATAGGACAGGCAGACCTAACTGAAAGGAGGCGCTAGACCAAATATCGAGGTCCCAAACCGTTTAGGGCCTTATAGGTTAGTGCCATCACCTTGAAACTGGTACAGAAGTGAACTGGTAGCCAGTGTAAGGCAGCCAGGGTTTTGGATTTTTCCTCACTGTCTGTGGCTTCAGTGGGAAAGCGGTCCACAAAAGCTATAACTGAGAATAAGATGACTGAGAGATGTATCAGAATAGTGCAAAGCCAAGGAATAGAGAAATCTCCTTGCTCCTTGTCTCTACCCATGCTTCCAGTGTCTATAAGACAAGAGCATATCACATAGTTCCCAGTACACTAATTTAGCAACACTGTTAAAGCCACAGATAGAATGGAGGTAATGGTTTATTCAGAGCTTGAAAATAATTTGTGAACTTTTATTCATTAACCGTATTTCTTTTAAAATATTACAGTGATTTAAAAAGTTATTATTTTAATATGATGACAACGATATTAATGTTTTGAGTAAGTAGGTAACATTCCATGTTATTTTCATTTGTCACTTTTTTATTTGCTAAGTAAAGTTGGGAGTCAATTTTAGTCATTTTAATTGATTCTTGTTAGTAATGCATAAGTAACCCTCAAATGTATTTTTTTATTTTTTTACTAAATGTTTGTGGATTAATTTTGGAGTCACTGTTAATATTAACATTTAATACATTAGAGTTAATGCCCGTGTTTTCAAGCTGTCATTTTATTTTGGGTATTGTAACCCTTTTAATCTTGGCTAATTGCAGCTTTGATTATCAGTATGCAACAAGCATGACGTAAATGACAAATCGATAGAGCTGATTTCTTATACCCAAATTTGGAATGACACTAGACCTGTAGAAGTGGTTGAAGCCTCTTCATCCCACTGCCTTTAACCCAATTTATTATTCACTCCATAGTAATCATTGGGATTTACAGTATGAGGGGCCATATAGTAACTGATATTACAATGCATTTTTCCTTACAATACTAGGCTGAGGATGAAGAAGGATACCGTAAACTGATCGACCAGAAGAAAGACAGGCGTTTGGCATACCTGTTGCAGCAAACAGATGAATATGTGGCTAACCTGACTAATCTGGTGTGGGAGCACAAGCAAGCACAAGCTGCCAAAGAAAAGAAGAAAAGGAGGAGAAGAAAGAAGGCAAGTGTATATATAATTCATCTGTCACTGAGAGACTTTTTAAATACTTTCCTTCATTTCTTTCATTTCTTCCACAGAAAAAGTGGCACTCTTAATGAAAGTGTGTCTTGGTTCTTAAAAAACACCCTTTATCATATAATATGCAAGGTTATGAGAAGTTCATTTTTAACACAGCTAGATCTCCACTGAGTGGTTCTTTACCTTGTTTAAAGCTCTTTAATCTTTTAGCTCTGCATCTCTTATTTATTGTATAGGTTTGAATTTTGTGCCACATTGTTGCAGACATTTATTTTTAAAGAAAACTAAAGGATGGAATACTGTAAGATTTAAGCCAAAAACAAAATAAGTTACTATATTTCATTTCAACTCATTTTTATCCCACCCAGCTAGTGGCAGAGCAAACAAGTCATAACACAATATAAACAACTCCAGTACCACTCACATAGTCAGTAAACATGAAACATAACAATAGCAACAAAATAACTGTTAAAACAGAGTTCAGTTCTTGCCACTCACTTTCCTTCATGCTAGCTGGTGGATTAGTTGTGGTGGCCGACGTTCCAGGATTTGGTATGGCTCCTCTAATGGCTGTTCATATGACTGGGTCCTCTTTGGGAGGGAGACACGATAGAAATAATAAATTGAAAAATGAAAATAAAGCACATGGTATTTTGGATGGTGGCTCCTCAGTCATCAGTAAAAGGGGGCAATGAGGAAATGTGTATACTGTATTCATGTGTCCATTGCAGGTACTTACCATATGAGGTAAAAATAGTAAATAATTTCCCCATCTGTTGTCATTTTATTGCCTTGAATGCATAGAAGAAGATGAATCTGAAAGGGTGAGTCTTTCCTGTCCTTGTGGGATCTCCATGTGAGTTTGAATCCTGATATTCTGGGAAGAAAAGTCTAATCTTGGCTTTATATAGGAGGCTCTCCTATTAAGGTTGATCAGCCTTTATGTGTTCAGGGCAATGAAACCAGAGACAGAAGAGGATGGAGCTGAAGCTTTCCCTGTGCTTGTGTAGTGAGTAATCACAACACCCAGCAACTAGGGCTTCATCATACCATGTGAATTATTACAGTCTGAATTGTTTTGTACTGCCTGCAGGTATGTTTGAAGCCTCCGACAAAACCCTCAGAAGGATGATTCTATAGATGAGAGGCAGCTGCCTCTCTAAGTGTTTTTAATGTTTGAACAGGGTATATCAATTGTATTGTTAGAGGAGGGCAGTGTTGGTTACTCTCAGTGCTTATGAGGAACACAATTGAGGAACACAAGAAGGACCTTGAGGTCCATTCCATTTAGAGCTCTATAAGATACGATCAACATATTGAATTATGTCCAGATGTCTGTAGGGTACCACCATGAATAGTTTAAATTGTGTTCAGATGTTTATAGAGAGCCATCATGTATACTGGAGCACTATTACAATTGATTAGGCATCCTTCAGTCTCGAGAGACTGTGGTAACGTGCTCTGAATAGAGGACTTGGATCAGCATCTAATGTGGCTGAGAAGGCCAATTCGAGAGTGACAATCCCTTCCTCACTGAGGACAAATACAATCTGTCCCCTGTCCAGCTCCCTGATTTTCCTGGTTTCGGGACTGCCTCTTTGCCTCGGCCTGCCGGACAAGGGTCTCTTCAAAATGGGAGAGGCCATGCTGTACCACCTGCCTCCAGGCTGAACGCTCAGATGTCAAGGATTCCCATCTATTGAGGTCCATTCCTAAGGCCTTCAGATCCCACTTGCAGATGTCCTTGTATTGCAGCTGTGGTCTCCCTCTGGGGCGGTTTCCCTGCACTAATTCTCCATACAGGAGAACTTTTCAAATCCGACCATCAGCCATTCTCACAACAAGCTTCTGATAATTCACATAGATATGTGTGCACACACGTGCATACAGAGACACTCAGCAGAGGCAATACACTCCACATTTTCTGAACAGCCTGATTAGAATAATGTTAATCTGAAAACATGAAAATGGTTACATTTTGAGATTAGGAAGGCATGAATGTTTAGTGCTATATCCAAATCAGAGATGACCTTTCCTCATTAGATGGATGCTTTTCAGTGTTATGCCTTCCAAAAATTGAACCTTGGGGAGGAGACCTCAATGTGTTTTTTCAGGGCTAGAGAAAAGAAATTTAAATGGAAACATAATGGCCTATGTACTGTCATTTATAGTCTCACTCTTCATTGAAATGTGGCCCTGGCTCATTTCATAAATGTCCCAGTTATGTTATTTTAGTATGTTGACCCTGTGTAAAATGGATTAATATATAAAGTGAGTCTTTTTACTCAGGCATTCTGGATCAATTATTGTATGTCTAGATTCTTCATTACCAATCAGAAGTTTCTGTAATACAAGTTTACAGAGACATATATTTTAAAAAGCTTACACTTTCTTCTTGTCTCTCCAGTTCTATATTGGTTGCTACTATGAAGCATAGAAGGAGACCAGAACCCACAGCTCACCTTCTGTCTCCCTCTCCTGTTACAACTGTTCAGAACCGAGAGTTAAAATGTGACATGGCATTAAGCACAAAATATGTACTGTACATGTGTGTCTCAGAAATAGTGGAAAAGTGAAGAGATGTCCATTTTCCTTTGTAAAATGCAACCAAGCAACTGACAAAATAAAAGATTTGGTCTCTATAAATTTTAAAGGAAAGTGAAATGACATATCCTTCATAGCTACTACAATGGTTATCAGCACCTTAAAATACCATGTAAACAGTAGCCTTTCCATGTAAAAATGACAAAGAAAATGTTGAAAGCAAATCAAGCAAATGTTGAAAGAGAGCATTTAGAAGAAGTAACAGAAAGAAAAGTGAGAGAGGGTGAGACTGAAATCCTTGCAGCTTCTGCTAAGGATGTGTGCCAAAACATTGTTTTATCTCAGGAGGGTGATTTGTGTATGCAAACCTCTTCCCCTGACTGTTTTAGGCCTTAAAAGCCCATTCACTTTCTGATTTTTGAAAAAGACTTTTTACTGTTTGCTGCTCTAAGGCAGCCACTAGAGGACATGACTTCTGTTTTGCTACCAGTTTTTCTTTCAGAGAAATAATAGTGTGTGGCTTTCCAAAGAACCCCAGGACCTTGGAAGTTATACCATGATATGAGTGTGCAGTTGCAACTGAACTAACCTGATGACAACTTCATTAGCTCGATCTGGCTGCAGTTGACAAAGATAAAGCAATGACATTGGACCCATTTTAATCTGGCTTAATAATTTGAGCTGCATAACATTGTATGTCATGCTTAAAATAATATTTAAGATTTTAAACATTAAAATAATATTTAAGTATGACATACATTGTAATGTGAGTGGCATAGAGTCACCTGCTGTTATTTACTCTTAAATGGCTTAGCCACTTGCTTTTAGGTGGTGTGTGCTTGCTGCGGGATGTCGCCTGTGTGGCACTTATGTGCCATTATGGTGTTTGTGTTGCCAGTACTGTAATTGCTACCACCACTGCTAGGAAAAGGGAAGGGCAGGTTAAGTAAGAGAAATAAAACTCTTAACACCCCCAAAAATTATCCCGGCTCTGTCTGTGCAGATGCCTGCAAAAGGGTACAAGTTTATATGGATGTGAGAATATTGATGATTTTCTCTTCAGACATAAGACATTCATATTGTCTGTATTTGGTAGTACTAGATCATATAGGTTCTAATTGTTGCTAAGCAGATGGAGAAAAGGGATAAAGCTGTTTCTTACATGGTATGTTGTGTTTCGTATGCATTATCTGAGTACAATTGCTAATCAAGTGGCGGTTACAAAGCATCCATCTATGTAGAAAATGCAGCATTTCCTTTTAAAATATGTCTCTCTGTGCCTATGTTATAATTAACATATACTTGGAAGAAGTAATTCCCAGCTCTTCCCTGTGTAGCCCATGTAATCAATATGAAGCATATATAAAGCTTAGGACAGAAGGTAACTTCAGAAGTAGTTCTGAGAAATGTGTGGCGGGGAAGGGAAACACTGCATGGGGAAATGTAAGCATATAACTGTGGTGAATGGAAAGCCGGAAGATAAATGCTCAAGAGGAAAATATGATAAAATAAGATTTTTTTACTGGACAACAGGTAAAAAACATGTTGGGTGTCAGCAGGAGAAGGGTCCCAAGCAGAATTGCAAATGAAGCTGCTGTGATGGAAGTATTTATTTGTCATAAACAGGTCTGCTCTGAGTAATAAATTCAGTGACACTATAGTGATATTGACATTTCTTAACATGTGGAACCTATACTGTGTCAAGAAGAGGGGGCTAGACACACCATCTCTGACCCTGGCAGAATTATGGGCCACTTCCAGATTGCAAAGGGCAAGGAGTCAGGTCCTCAGTTGTCGCTGTATTGCTCTGCTGCTTTAAATAAAGAAGCAAATATAGGAGAAAATGTATTTTGCATATCTAGTCACAAGGCTATTTAAAGCATGAAATTTAGGAGCCATTTCACATGCACTCCAGGTGCAACAATGAAGATGTTAACATTTTAATTTGATTAGAAATCGTGCGACCTGCATTTGCGCCTTTTAAAAAAAGCAGAATTCACAGAATGTGATAATTCTGCCTATCAAGTTTGCATCTTAAAGGATATATATGTTACACTTCAGTATACTCTCTTGGACATATCATTAGTTTAATCAAAACTCCCTATGTTTCATTATAGAAGGCAGAGGACAATACGGAAGGAATGGGATCTGGTCTTGGTCCTGATGGAGAGGTAAGAAATCTTATTTCAATTCAGAAAATATTTCGGCATGCTATTAATTAATAATGGACAAAATGCCATGTGTGCAGAATAAGTTTGGAGGGAAAAGGGGAGAGCCAAAACACAGACGTGGTGGTGGTTTCTCTTAGTATAAGCCACTTCTGACAATAGTCAGAAAAGGTGATGTTAAAAAACAACAACCTTTAAACTGCAGAGCTGGAAGGGACTCTATGGATCGTCTGTTAGTACTACAGAACTGCTGTAATCTGCTTTATAATAATATTCCAAAAAAAAGAGAGAAACTTAAACAGTAAAATTACTTCTGTGAATTTTTTTTTCATGGTTTTGATCTTGAGTTGTCCTTCTGTTTGCTGAAGGCCTTTGATTCAGTGAAGGATCTTGCTGGAGCATGGAGGTGATTGGTGGCCATTTTTACTGGGTTTGCCTTTTCTTGCAACCCCTTCACTCTCAACTCACCAGAGCATATTTCCATATAAACAAAAGTCATCTCTCTCTACACATCTCTGTGTGGTTTTTGTGAACTGAGTTCTACTTACAGAGCTAAGCCAATATATTTAATATTTTGCTAAATGTATATTCTTTTCTTCTTTTTCTTCTTCCTCCTCTTCTTCCCCTTCCCCTTCCCCTTCCCCTTCCCCTTCCCATTATTATTATTATTA